AGGGGTGTTTCACGAAGCAGTAGTTAACTCATCGCTAAGTTCAGTCGTAAAGTTCGGTCGTTAGTTCTCTCGTTACTCACCGTAGTCTCGAAACAGTCTACCGGAAGTGGAACTCTTGCGTAAAAGTGTCGCGAAAGCACTAACTCTCCAATTTCCGGCGGCTGGAAATGCATAAGAACGTCTGCTTTGAGGTCGTCGTAAAGGATCTCCACCACCTTTTTGCCGCTCTTTTTGTCACAGCTAGGCGCAACCTCTCGTAAATTGCATCATCGTATGTATATTCTAAATAGATTCTGCCTTTCATGAAAACGTCGTAGTCTACGTTGCCGTCTGGAGGTACGGATAGCAAGAAAAGTAGCCGCCATATTGGATACAAAGACAAACGACAGACAACGGTAACTAAGCAACCTTTTTATTTCACTCATTACGCATGCGTACGATGAAACTCTAGAGTTAGCGACTGGTCTGACCAGTCGTTAAATATCCAAGGTAACAACGAGACAATAACGAGCGAGAGAACTAGCGACTGCCTCGTGAAACGGCACTATAACTAGCGAGAGGCTAACTACCGATCGCTAACTAACTACTGCTTTGTGAAACCGGCCCCAGTTCTATTACCTGAATCGGTATGCAGGCGGGCTTTGCAATCATAGCAACTCCCCCCTCTCTCTCAATTCAGTTGTCTCGGAACAGGTCCATCAGTGGAATCAATGCAATAGTGCTGTCACTTTCTCTCTCACAAATCGGTATACTTTACTTCTGAATTACATATTATCAATTTTTTAATGGTTTTCGTATTTTTACCTGTAGGAATGGTAAACTGCCCACCAATTTTCTCCCAAAACACAACGGCGTCCTTCTTGGTCGACTTATATTCTCTGTGGAGAAAGATATGTTTTGCTATGTTTTTACTGTGAGATAGCCAACAACATTAAGAACAGAAATAAGTAATAACCATCCTGGTTGCTGATACTGAAAAAAATTGTCATAATTACTTCACTCCCCTTAATTTTGAAGATTACAACAGACCATGGCTGAAATTCACGGACTACAACCCCAATAGCATTTAATATGGTAAAGAAATCGGTACATACCGCCCTATGGTTTCTTGACAGTTTAAGCAGTACACTGGACAAAACTCTGTATAATCCTTAAACCACCCATCCACTGCCTATTAAGAAAATATATTTTTATCAGCAAAACATAAGCATTGCTTTTAAATATATATCATATGTAATTCATCACCTTTCATGGAACTCAAAAACTTAATGCGTGAACATAAATATATTTGTTGTGGGTACGCAGACACGTGACGTTTATGTGCGAACTGTTCAGTAAGGTCTAAGTAGTGTTAATATCATGTGACTGGTCACTTGAGTAGTATTATCAAATAGAAGGTGGTGAGGAAAAGTAGATTTTAGAGTTAGGTCATTCGAAGGCTCTTTCGCATTCCGTGAAGATGGCAGAGAATGATCAAACTGATTCGGGTCCACGCCCCGAGGACCCAGAAAGACAAGAAGGTTGGAAAACCGTGAAAGAGTATCAAATTTCTGACTTTGCTGACGATTCTGGAGATGAAAGAAAGATCAGAGCAGCGGAAAACAGGGCTCTTCGTCAATCGCGTAAAAACAACTACCGTTTTTCTCCATATGCCACTCCCACCGCAGCCGCAGGTGCCCCTTTTTCTACCAACAGAGCAATGGCTTCCTCGCCGTACCCAGGGCCTTTTCCTTCAGCCGCAGTCAGCTCAGCAGGCCAGTTGAATCCCAGTCTAGGGCCCAGATTTCCCACTTTTTCGTCACAGCCTTTTCGTAGGATCCGCAAACCGATGCCGTCCGACATCTGCTTCCTCTGTTTGCAGCCGGGACACTGGAGATCAAGCTGCCCCAACGCCCAAGTTAGACCAGAACCAGAGAACCAACGCAATTGAAAATGTAAAAGATAAGTATTTTCTGAAAGATCCAGAAACTTTTGAATGCTTGGCAGACTTACATTTGCGCCAACATATAGAACATTTAAAAAAACTTGATCGTAATTTCTCAAAGACAGACGGCATTAAAGGAAGTCTTCGTGCCCATATGCAATTTTGGAAAGACATGAACACTTATTCGGACATTCTCAGAATCATAGAGAACGGTTACGATATTCCGTTTATATCCAATCCTCCATCCATGTTTATGCAAAATAACAGATCAGCTATAAAAAAAAACGCACATTTTGTCAAAAATACAATTAAAGAATTGTTGAATACAGGTTGTATTGTTCAAGTGCCTTTTAGACCTTTTATTGTTAGTCCTCTAAGCGTTGCTGAAAACAGAGAAAAGAAGAGATTAATTTTGGATTTAAGTCAATTGAACAATCATATTAAAAAAGATTAAGTTCGAAGACTGGAAAGCGGGTATAGATTACTTTGAAAAAGATTGCTTAATGATTAAATTTGATCTTAAATCAGGTTACCATCATATCGATATTTCACATAGATTTCAATCTTTCTTGGGATTTTCCTGGGATCATCATTTCTACTGTTATACCGTTCTGCCTTTCGGTCTTTCCTCTGCTCCTTATATTTTCACTAAATGTTTGAGGCCGTTAGTCAAGTATTGGAGAGAAAAAAGCATTAAGATAGTTTTATATCTAGATGACGGGATAGTCTTTTCAAAAAATTTACATGAGTGCCAGCGAGATTCCTCGTTAGTGAGAAATTCTCTTATTCAAGCGGGTTTTTTAATCAATGAAGAAAAATCAAAATTTTCACCTGTTAATAGTTTAGAATGGCTCGGTATTATTTGGGATGCCCCATCTTTTGCTCTGTCAATACCAGAAAGGCGAATTCAAAATACTTCAATAGCAATAAAAAAAATTATTTCTAAGTTCAATTCTTTTACAGCAAGGGAGTTGGCCAGCGTCGTAGGAAAAATCATTTCCATGTCTCCTGTTCTGGGCAACATCTGCAGAATCAATACTAGATATTGTTCTATGGCAGTAGTCAATCGATCTTCCTGGGATATCCCTTTAACCGAAGTGGACAAATGTCCCATTCTAAACGAGCTCAAATTTTGGCTTCAAAACATTCGTTCTCACAATAACAGACCGCTTTTAAAGTCCGTCAAAAAAGAAATTATTATTTTTTCGGACGCCAGTAACGTAGGGGCGGGCGCCTTTACAGTCGAAATAGAAAACAAAATTTTTCACCAAAATTGGACTGCTCAAGGAGCTATCATGAGTTCAACGTGGAGAGAGTTAAAAGCAGTAGATCTGGCTATTATGTCTTTTGGGCATCACATAGCAAATTCTCATGTCAAATGGTTTTCGGATAATCAAAATTGCGTTAAGATTGTACAAACTGGAAGTATGAAAAAATCTTTGCAAGATTTATCCTTCAGTATTTTTAAGACTTGCATTAATTTCGGAATTTCCATTGATATTAGCTGGATTCCCAGAAATATAAACGAAACAGCCGATTACTTGAGCAAAATTATCGATTTTGACGATTGGGGGGGTTTCGCCGGAGTTTTTTGAATTCATACAAAAGCTTTTCGGTCCCTTTACAGTAGATAGGTTCGCTAACTCACAAAACACAAAACTCAAACGGTTCAATTCAAAATTTTGGAACCCAGGCTCCGAAGCAGTCGACGCCTTTACGCAAAATTGGGCAGGGCAAAATAATTGGTTAGTCCCTCCCATATATTTAGTTATTGCCAGTATTAAACATTTGGTCCATTGCAGGGCCAAGGGAACACTTGTAGTTCCAAAATGGCCATCGTCTGTAAAGCCTCTCTTCTGGTCTTCAAATCAAGTTCGGTCCCTTGGTTCTAAACTGTTTACCAGAGGCTCTGTTCTGGTCCTACACCTGTAAATGTCCATCATGACGTGTTCTAATGTGTTCCCCAAACGTGTCCTTGGCTGACTCTATTATGGTCTCCAATATTTGAGGTTTAAAATTTTGAGAGGCTACCAAAAAACGTACGTAAACTGAATGTTGGAAAGAGNACACAGACGGTTTATAGGATAAAACTAAAAGAACCTCGAAGTGTGCCCGTTGTGTGAAATTCGTAGGAACGGTGATCAAAGGAATTCCCTATCAACTCTCTCTCTCCCATCATTTTCTCTCTCACTTATTCTCTCTCGCACGCACACACACACAAGCACACACACGGCGACATGATGCGGTTATTATAGATCACGTAACCTAAAACTTGGACATAATGACATTATTTTGTCGATGCCTAAAACAAAAGACCCAATGCAAAATAGAAATGGAAAAACAAAACGAGCAGTCCTACTATCAAAATTGGCCGGCTTCAGAAGCAGACGGCAAGATGCGCTGTTCGTGCTCGGCACCAAATCAGTGTTTTAACTGACTATCACCCTGACACGAGTTTTCTATTTAAGGAAATAAGTAAGAGTAATTTTAAAGGCTAATTTCTGCAAAAAAAAAAAAAAAAAAAAAAAAAAAAAAAAAAAAAAAAAAAAAAAAAAAAAAGCTGTTTTTGGCTATGCCATGAAATATTGGTTGGAATTCCCGCTCACAATTTCTTTTAGGGTTGCGTGCTATTTATCGATACCTGACCCCTTTTTAACGAGGACTCATGATATTAATATCGATTTTTTTTTAAATATTTCAGAGCTTGTTTATTGTTGATGTTCCGTAATAATTCATCCGCTATCTGTATGTCCTTTTCTAATATGTTATGTCACTTGTATCATTAGAGAATAGCATTCTGGAGGCAGTCAAAACATTTTTCCAAAACAACAATACCGATAGTATTTATTTCTTTGAAATGAAAACAGCTGGAGTGTGCGATAAGATAATGTTAGGCTGTATTCCCAGAGCTTTTAGATCGATCTATCCCCGCGGGGAGTCTCACTAGATTGCTGCCAGATAATCCGGCTTAAATGTCCGTCCCGCATACTACAATCTGCAAGGGGATAATTAACTTTCGTGTCCGCTCGGCTGACAGCTATTTAGTGTGAACCCCCAGGGAGTTAGATCGATCTAATCTCTGGAAATGGGGTCTTAATCGACAAGAAGGAGATAGTAGATTACTAGTAAAATATCTATAAAACTTGTGATAAAAGCTGAGGGCAAAAAGTATTCAGAAATGTAAATAGCATAATGGCATATTGAATAGCATTAAAAGATTGTTACAATAGCGATAAATCTGTTAATTTTACAGGCTTAATTTGTATTCTTCTCTAAATACACGTAACTCTCTCTCTCTCTCTCTCTCTCTCCGTGTTAGTGAGTGTGTCCCACCCCATGTTGGATGCGGTGCGGACGTCTCCCAGTATCGTTCAGAATCCTACATGCACTGAAACCTCCATCTATTTCATAATGTTTAAACAATAGGGGGACTTACTACACGTATCTGGGTCCTACTGTTCGTGCGGATGAATTCATTTGCGTCTCACATACATATGCATGTGTGTACATGTAGCGCATGTTGCTGTGCTCGTTGTCGCATTGCATTTGAATGTTCACTGTAAAAGCCATTATAATTTTACGTTTTAAAAATAGCCCAAAAAGTATATTGATCTTCTTTACGTGATCTCCATATTTTATATTGTATCAATATTTTATCAGCACACGCTGATGCAAGCTGAAGTTACAAAAAAGACTATTGCTTCATTCTGTCTGAAGCTATTCAGTGTCTATCAGGGGAGTATGCGGCAAGCGTTCAAGTGGGTCGATCATAATTGATCTGCGGATATGTTAGTCCGCAAATCAACTTGCTATGAATGCGCCTAATAAATACATGTACACACGTGTGGCTTTTACATAAGTTTAACTCTGTGTTTTTTTTAGATCTTGTGACTGGGGAGGAATGCTATAGCTGTTCATCCTATACAGTGAAGTTTGATACGGATAACATACTGGGAAGCATCGTAAGCACCCCAATTAATAATGCCCTGGCGAAACTTCCCACAGACGAAGATTGTGAGGCAAGCCGAATCGCCAGTCTTGGCACGACATCTTGTAATGGAGGATGTGAGAAGGCTAATGTGACGATGCATTTCAATGTTCAGTTTTTGGTATGTTTTTTTCCTTTTTCTGAATGGAAAATGTAGTAATCTCTTCCCCATTTCATTATACGTAATAAATGGAATGCGTGTGTGTAGGCGACAGTATTTTGTATAGTAAAGAAGAGTGCAACAATCTGAATCTATCATAACGATTAAAATGACTATCCTAAACCGTGTTTAAGTTTTCTTACAGTTTACAACCAATACTAATATAAATTATAATTGATACGTGTAGTCTTATTACCGGAGTAAGTGCATATTTTCTTTCATTTTAGGGCGAACACAGAGTTTCGGTAAGAACAGTGTCACGTGGTTGCGCAAATGACGCCAGTGTCGGAAGTTCAGTTTTAATCAGTGACAACGGCTGCCGCAAGCCGGCGGGTAAAGATGACTTGTTTCCAGGGGCAGATGCAGTCTTCAAAATCTTAGAGTCCGTTGGGGCGCCTACCTTGGATCGCCAGACTGGAGAAGAATGTGTGTGTCGTGGAAACCTCTGCAACAGTTCGACGTCATTGTTTGCCTGTGGAATATTACTGGCAAGCTGTCTTTTCTTGACTGCAGCTTTGAAGAGCGTCCTCTAGTGACAGCGTTTATCAAGTGACTTCGTGCAGTGTGTTTTTGCAAATAGCCTAAATGGACATGCGATTTAATTCCCACGTAGACGTTGCATAATGAGAGCATAATGCTTGAACTTTATTAACATTTTTGGTTTTTGTGAGTGTGAGATTGAGATGTCCTTTCCATGTTGGGAGGAGGATTGTGGACAAAGTGAAATGGCCGACTCCCTTCATTTCTTGTAGAGTGTGTGTGTGTGTGTGTGTGTGTGTGAGAGAGAGAGAGAGAGAGAGAGAGAGAGACGCTATCAGTATTAGTCGGTATTTTTTGTGGTGAACTCTTAAGTGACTGCTGGACAGTCGAGAGTTTGCCACATGGAGCCTAGACCCTATTCCCATTGATAACATTGGTCTAAGCTCCATGACATTCAGTTAAGCTGATTGCTCTAGCGAGAATCCCCGCAGTTGAGTCGATCCAGGTAGACCGATGATGTCTATGGGAATGGGATCTTAACCTTAGCCATATTGTATTCAAAATATTTTCTGTTTACCACCGGGTCTGTGAAATCCATTTGAAACCTGGTCACCATACCTTGCCTTTTTGTCAAGGAATTCATTCAACTCACTTTCATCCGTTTGTGTTAATCATACTCTGTAAGATGTAACGCACTTTTTTTAATTCAAATAGAGATATTGTATATGGTAAAATACTCAGTTACATTAATTCAGGTGACATTTTGTTGGATTATTCTTCATATATGGTTGATTTTCAAATTAAATAAAAAATATATAAATTATATATCGTTTTTGATCTATGTCTTCACAAAAAAGTAAAAAGCGTTTCCTAAGTTAGCATTATTTAAACGGTTAAAGAGAGCATAACACAGCATAACGTATTTTACTATTAATTGATTAATTACTAAAATTGATGCAACAACTATTTGAAGCCAGCTTCGTTAACGCTTCACAAAATTTGCATTTGATTTGACAAAGAAATACAAGTTGATAGACTTCGTTTTAGACTCATGCCAGGTGCCACAGTAATGAGCGAAAGCAGTTTGGCGTGGAAACTACAACAGTGAAATATACGTTTGTAAAAATAGACTTTACCTCGTCAGTAAAAAAAATGCACCATTCAAGTACATTTTCTACGAAGCCGTGTTATTTGTTCAAATGCTCAACTGTCGCAATTATAAACGCAGGTATACGCATTTCTTAATACGTGTGCATGGAACGATGTGAAATGTCACACAGAAATATTCAAGCACAGGTATGTAGTTTCATGATGCAATATTAGTTGCACACGAAAGTATCTACGAAGTTTTCAAGCTGGTTTTGCGCAGTTCTAAAGGTTGTAGCACTCGTATATATTATGTAGTACATAAGCATTTAGGCTACAAGTTTTTGTATGTAATGTCCTGGTAAGCATTTAAAGCTTTGTAAAATTCATATATATATATATATATATAGTCCAATTAATGTCACTAATTTAATTCTGAATCAAAGGTTGATTGCTCAATAGTCGAGGTAGAACTTAACACGTCGTTGTATGAACTCCCTAGCTCACAATAGTGACACGCAGGTGACTGTCCTCAACATCTAACTGTGCCGCTATCGGTAAGCAACGCAGCCACAGAAGCGAGATACTTTTGTGGAATTACTAAATTGTCACAAGCGAGACACTTGTGAACGTACTCTCTCACTGTGATCTGCCTAGCAGATACACACATACAAAGGCGAGACACCTTTGTCAAGACGAGACAAAAAATGGAAAGTAAAATATAAAACCATGTATTGTTTAGTTGCATGTACCTTACACTTTAAAGTGACTCCGTGTGGATTTAAAACGCCTAAAATATTGATAAACTGCATTTCTATATACTGATACACAAAAACTATGAATAATAGCAACAGTGCAGCTCAAGAATATAATTTTTCATCCCTCAGAAGTATCGCAGAGGTAGTGATGGTGCTCATTGCCACACAATTTGGAAAGCGTGTGTGCATTTGTTATGATAATTGCAGGTCAAGGCAAGGCAAAAGGATTAATCCTGGTCCCATTCATGCTGTTCAGGCCTAGAAAAAAAATTAATAGAATTTTCAATAGAATATCATTAAAATAATCTAACTACATTTATCACACACACACACACACACACACACACACACACAAACTAAAATTAATAATAATAAATTGCAGTCTTTGTAAAATGTAAACTGTTACAATTAATCTTTATCTTAAACAGCCTTATTTACAATCAATCTTTTCCTTAAACTGCACAGCCACTGTTTACTCCAAATTCGTAACAGTGTTGATCTGGAGTTGGACTTTGGGCAAAAATGCACACCCATCATCAGTTAAAAACCAAATTTAAATCAAGGCCTGAGAATGTTAGAAATCACATGCAAGTTAGGGCACCACAAACTGTGGTGTACCCCGTTATCATACACTAATCATTGAAGGTCCTGATTCATTAAATGTAAAATAATTATACATTTAAAAAGATGAGTTTTACAGATGATCTACACCTTCCCATTATACAGTAATTAGATGTACTTGATCTTTTCAATGGGAAAAATTTGTGATTTTTACAAATATTATACTCGATATTTTCTAAGTCATAATTTCTAAAAATCAGAACATTCCTATCGGAAGGATACAAACTAAATTTAAAACTATATTTGCTACTATATAGTGCTATTCTAAGTAGTTAAAGCACCACAAATGCCTTAAACAATTAATTTTGTAATTATAAAACTATGTTTCTGAAAGTTTGATATTTTTACCCATCAAAAAGAATGAGTGTTTACTATATTATGTTAAAGCCAGCCGTGCAATCTGATGTGTCCCCACCACACTTTGTTCACAAAATTTATGTAGCGCGTGACTGTTTTCATTTTCATAATGACAAATGAACAACAATGGTAACGATAGTATTTATTTCTTTAAAATGAAAACAGCTGGATTGTGCGATAAGATAATGTTAATCGACGAGAAGGATATAGCAGATTACTAGTAAAATATCTATAAAACTTGTGATAGAAGCTGAGGCCAAAAAGTATTCTGAAATATAAAGAGGATAAATGCATATGGAAGAGCATTAAAAAGATTGTTAAATCATGCATAATAAGTAAACATCGCCTGAATAGCGTCTAGTTTCGCTTTTCCATTCATTCATTACGCTAAAGAAATCACCCAGTATAGAGGGTACCGGAGGAGGATTGTACCTGTCAGACCTGACCATTGAAATGTTTTATTTGTCCGATGAATGCATCACATTCACACCTTGAAAACTGGCAGTGTGGTCAGATCTACCGGTGAATTGGGGATCATTTGGTGCCGAGTCTGGTAATTGGGTAGGCCTGACGACGTCACACTTTCGGCACAATCCTGTCTCCTCCGGTACCCTCTATTGTCTTCATTGATATCTAGATATAGATATGATACATCTGTTAGTACTCAGTCACAGCAAGTATCAGAACAAGACGATGAAAACCAGTTTGATGGTGATCTGTGCATTGTGGACCCTTGTCTTCATTTCCATGAAAGGTAAGAATATCAGTGGCTTGTTAGTTGTAACATTTGTGAGAAGTGAATTTCTGTAACTTGAATCATTTCTATTTCCATGACTGAGTTAAGAATCACACTTCATAAATGCAGATGTCTAAAATGGAAACCAATAATCAATGTCTTTATGCAAAAAACAGAAAAGAGATTGGTTAACAACACTAAAGAAACTAGGCCTTCTGCATGTTGTGGGGACCCACCTTAAGACCACCCCGGGGCCCCCACATTACATTACATTACATTACATTAAATACCCTTTAAGGTCGGCTTTGCATCCGCGGACCCCCCCCCCCCCCCCCCTTTCAAATAATACTATATCAGCCTCTTTTGGAATATTGAAATATTTGTTTTCGTAAATTCTCACTTTTCAGATATCAATTGCTAATGAAAAAAACACTTTTTAAAATTAGAAACAGTGAAGTGATAAGTTATTCTCAGATTTTTACTGTTGTGAAGCATCATTTGTACAAATTTTACAAAAATTGGAATAGATTTGTCAAAATTATTAACGTTTAACTATTTTAAGCCATGGGATTTGCCAATGTTTTCAATGTAATTTTCAGTTCTTTAATATATTGTGCAAAATATCACTTTCATTACACGCAGTCAACTGATAAGCTTATGTCAGACTTTTATTGTTCTTAGGCATCATTTGTAGTGAAAGCGAAAGACAACATCAAGAGCAGTGCTATGTCTCATTCATGTGTACAATACATGATATGTGGGAAGATTTAGGACATGGTCAAATGGTGTGCTAACAGCCTGATTCCACAAACATATAAGTCCCCAAGTCAACTTGCTGTGAATGCACTCAATAGGTCTATATACATGTACACGCGTGCACCTTTTACGTAAGTTTCACTTTTGTGTTTTTTCAGATCGTGTGGCTGGGGAGGAATGCTATAGCTGTGCTACCTACATGTTTGAAACAGACAACAAACTGGGAAGCACCGCAATTAGAAATGCCCTGGCACAACTTCCCACAGACGAAGATTGTGAGGCGGGCCGAATCGCCAATCTTGGCAAAACATCTTGTAGCAGAGGCTGTGAGAAGGCTAATGTGACGATGCATTTTTATGTTCAGTATTTGGTAGGTTTTCCTTTTTTTTCCTTTTTTGAATGAATAGAAATCTCTACCCCATTTCATTTTACGTGATGAATGGAATGCGTGCGCGCGTGTATCTGTATTTGTGTTTATTTGAGTGCTCGCGCGCGCACTCATGTGTGTGTGTGTGTGTGTGTGTGTGTGTGAGAGAGAGAGAGAGAGAAAGAGAGAGAATGAGAGAGAGAGAGAAAATGGCAAGTGAATTAGAATGTGTCTTGGAACACGCACGTCAAGAGTCTTCCCAATAACTAAATTAGACAGTCTTAGGCGACAGCATTTTGTGCAGAACGTTGCAACAATCTGAATCTATCATACCGATCAAAATGATAATCCTAAACCGTGTTTATATTTTCTTACAGTTTACAGTCAAAACTAATATAATTGATACGTGTAGTCTTGTTACCGGAATAAGTACATATTTTTTCATTTTAGGACGACCACAAAGTTCCGATAAGAACAGTGTCACGTGGTTGCGCCAGTGCCGGAAGTTCAGTTTTAATCAGTGACAACGGCTGCCGCCCGCCGGCGGGTGAAGACGACCTGTCTGTAGGAGCGGAGGCAGTCTTCAAAATTCTAGAGTCCTTTGGGGCGCCTCAGATGTTTCGCCCGACTGGAGAGATATGCAAGTGTCGTGGAAACCTCTGCAACAGCTCAACGTCATTGTTTGCCTGTGGAATATTACTGGCAAGCTGTCTTTTCTTGATTGCAGCTGTAAAGAGCGTCCTTTAGTAACCGTGGCACTCGAGTTAACGTCTCACAAAATTTGCATTCGATTTGACACATAAATACAAGTTGATATACCCTTTATTTTAGACTAATGTCAGGTGCCACAGTTATGAGCGAAAGCAGTTTGGCGAGGAAACTACAACAGAGAAATGTACGTTTGTAGAAATAGACTTTACCTCGTCAATGAAAAAAATGCACCATTCAAATACATTTTCTACGAAGCCGTGTTATTTGTTCAAATGCTCAACTGTAGCACTCATATATAAGCATTTTATTTAGGCTACACAATTTGTGTACGTAATGTCCTGGTAAGCATTTTAACCTGTGTAAAACCAAGGAGTTCCAACACCTTGGTAAAATGCATAGTTTTAGAATTATTCATGCTAAATGTATTGTAATATATAGAAGTCCAATTAATGTCACTATACTGAATCAGTCCAATCAATGTCACTAATCTAATACTGAATCAAATGGTACATGTTGAAACCCCTTTCAGACGACTCGTGATATCTATACACCCCAGTCAGCAAATGGGTTCAATATGGGGTCTTTCAAAAACTGTGCAGACGACATGTATTTTTTCATGGCGGGTAAAGCCTGAAATGCAAAAATCATTTGTGAGAATTAGATGAGAAATAGGTAGAGGGAAGAATGAATCTGATTTGAAAGAAAAAAGAAGAGCATTCATGGGACGGCATGACGTAAGAATGTTCTCGATCTGTGCGAGAACATTCGAGAAAGGTCGAAACCAAAGACCATTGCGAATACAGTGTACCATAGCAAGTGAGCAAAAATATGCATTAGCTTGGTAATTGGTCTTAAGCTAACGGTAGGAAGAATTTTTTCATCTTGTGTCAATTATCATCTGTGACATTTTTCCCTATACATGTATGATATCTCTCTCTCCCTATGGAGTAGAGGATTTTACTACTTACCTCAAAATTATTGCAGAAGGCGACAAGATTGGGGAGCTTGTCCAGACATCCGGGTTCAAACCTTCTGAACCAATCCAGCAGCTCGTACAAGCCAAAGTCTGCATATGTGATCTGTAAGAAAAATATTACTGGATAAAATAGAAAATATTAAGCTCACGCTGCGTTTGTATGTGTGCAGCGAAAGTACTCTTATTTTACCGAAAAAAATCCTTAAAATAACACGTAATAAAGCGGTCACACAACATCTCCAGGAAAGTATTTTTAAGGTATGACATAAAAAGATGATGTCCCGTTGATTTATATATATATTTTTGAAAAATTGCTAAGTTCATAACACGCCTAGGCGCTTCAGTAAGTTATTACAGTATTTCTATACTCTTCGTTAAAACGATCACTGTCAATAACACAACGAAAAATTAATCAACAGTATTTTGTGCAATTCAAACACACATATTTGATGACAAAGTGTGGTATTTCTGAAAATGATTTATTCTGAATAGACAATATTACACTTCAAAAGAGCACGTGTAGATAAACTTGTCATTATAGAACACTTGAAAAAGACAGTAAATGCGTGAATTTAGTTGGCATTTCTAGATCTGTTTAAAAGAGCGCTAGTGGTTGACATTCAGAGTTCACTTTAACCACAAAAAAAGTTCCTCGATAGGAAAAAAAAAGTGTCCATATGTTTTTGTACCACCATGTTCATTTGCCCAGAAAAAATTCCCATGAATCAACAGTTGTTGACACTAACTACAAGACTGACTACAAGACTGCTCCGTCTCACCTAACACAACCTTGGCATAATCAGAACATGTACTTCTGGTAACACAACTTATTACAATGATAATAAATGAAAATGCTGTTAATGAAAAATAAATGCACATAAGCTTTAATATGAACTTACACTTTTACCAGCACACCAAGGGTTATCTCCCAAAAAGTCTGAATAAGACTTCAACGTGTCTGGCAGGCCCTTCAAAAACTCTTCCTTCTTAGCTTTCTGAAATCAAATTAGGAAAGAAAAAGATATGACTTTCTGTAAAATAAAGGAAAAAACTGCAGAAAAAAGGACAACACTGAAGGCCTTTGGGTTACACATGGATAGGCCTAGTAATATTGTCAGCTGTTTAAAATAAATTGGGCTTGTTTCCCAGTTTAATCTTGTTCTGTGCGTTGTAGGGGCGATAGATATTAAAACTTAAAAATATCGATTTCACATTTAAAAAGTTAGTCGTGCTTTGCCCATGACACGTAGGCCTACGGATCCACTTGTACATTTTTTTTTCTAAAAAAAAAAAAATAAATAAAATACTGATTTTGATTTCACATCGAAAATGAAGAATGGCACCCAGTCCCTCTACAACAGAATGACACACACGGATCTACTTACGAAGTCAGCTTTAAACATGCGTGTTGACAGACAAACACGGACAAAGCCCATCAAGTTATCTCCGAGCTGTGAAGCCAACACGTCTGCTCGGATTCTTTCTGATTCAGTGCTACCATCTATCGGAGAAAAATATGACACAAAAATGTAAAGGCACGCAAATTTTATACAGCACAAAAAGGAATTTTCCTGGAATTTTTAACAATAATATTCCTCATCATCAAAGTGCCATTGTAGTAGTTTATACATGCGGATCCTTATTTTCTCAACGGTACTGGGACAGATCTACCATGATTATTAAATGTCTGCCAAAATTTTATATACAGTCTCATCATGTGCCTGTACATGTAATTTATCAGTATGAGAGAGAGAGAGAGAGAGAGAGAGAGAGACTTACATAAGTTGTGTTTCCTGGCCAGATGCATCATAATAGCACGACTTTGTACGATGATGGTGTCGCCATCTTTGTAGTAAGGAATCTGAAAAAAAAAAAAAAAAAAAAAAAAAAACGCCATGGGATTTCTTTAACACTAAATTATATCACCATAATTTCGCTGCACGTTTTCTTTTATTGTGCAATTATCTGGAACATAAAATATATCTTAATCTTCTGGTTTGAGGGGCAAATACTAAATTTGATGAGAGAAACGCACTTTAAGCCTTTTTGTATTTACAAACATTTTCACCTTGAAATTGTAAGCAAATTTATCCCTTGTTCCGGTGTAACAGGAATGGAAGTCCGGGCTCCCATATGATTAGTACAGGTTAGGGTTAGTTGAAGTATTGGGGTTAGTATATAAGACGAATGTCACCTGTACAAAGTAATGGGAAGTGGACTACGGTTCCTAGTAGACTTCCATTCCTGTTACACCGGTTTTAACTTAAAAGCTGAACCTTATTTCGTGTCTCAACAACATTAAGTCGATACGTGATAATTATGTGGTAACAATACAAAATATATACACACATTTGGAAATGGCACTCCCAGCTTGGCCTTATCCGTCAACCATTCATCTTTGTTGAACTCTGGGGCTAAAATAACACGGTTGACAAAAATTATGTTACAGTGATTTTTCAAATATGCACCGGAAACATATTATATTCCATTGCAGAACGCTCAAACTGTCCTGCAAAATGTGGATCCGCATATCCGACCCGTTAAACCCTGCGTTTTACATTGTGACGATGTAGTGTGTTAGATGATATTATTTTATATTGCTACCGGTAGATGTCTCTGTAAGTAAAGTGTTGTCCGGTGTGCAAGTTTGAATCTCTCCCGTGATTGGTAACCTAAAGGTAAAACTGTTCAATGTATAGTTGGTTCTGATTGGTAAACGTGTACTATCTGAACTAGTATATAAGGGGTAACGTGAAATAAATCGGCCTCTTTGGCTTCTTTGCGGCTGACTTTGCAGCTCTCTTGGCTCTTTTGCTCTTCTCTTGAGGCTGATCTCTTTGGGCTATTTGGCTTTGTGCTTATACTCTGAGACACCAGTAAGTACATTGTTATTTGTACCTTCATAAGGCACTCGGCCGCGAAGGCGTAACAATTGGCGCAGTCGACAGGATAGAATTTGTGTTGCTTATTAGTTGACATGATAGAATTTTGTGAAGCTAATGTTATTAGAGGATAGAATTTGTGTAGCATATGTTGTTAAATTGACGGAATTCAATTTGTGTAGCTAACGTTGTCAATTTACGGGATAGAATTTGTGTAGCTTGTGTAGTTAGAGGATAGAATTAGTAGTTATTAGTGATATTGGAATTTTTGAAAAGCTTTGTGTATGACTGAGTGAGAGTTGGAAAGATAGTGACACATGTTAGTCGGGACTTGTTGCAAGACGCGAACTAGTCGGAATATATAGCAGTGATATTTCATTTTCATTGTTGTTTAATACTCGCGGCAATTCAGTAAATATTGTCAAAGTAGTATTCATTTTAGTAGTTAAAAGATATTTTGTATTAATTTTCTGTTGTGATACTACAACTGCGGAGACACTGCGACCACATGTACTGAGTAGTAGTCGGAAAGACCACGTGTACTGAGTAGTAGTCGGACAGACCACGTGTAATTACAGGCCCGTGCGTGTAGAGCCTTATGTTGTAATTAGAATGCAGAACATAATTTAGTGAGTTTATTTACAAAGAAAAGCATTTATTAAAAATAAAGGTTTCAAATTTGTGTTTTTCACTGACTTGCTGAATGAAGGAGTGAGTGTGAATTGTTTATTGTATATTTTTATCAATATTGCAATAGCATATATTGATAGAGTACTATTCTACCTTGTTCGTCTGTGTTGAAAGTGTTTCATCATAGGTGTACATGTGAGTAGGTTGAATAGTGTGAGAAATTTGTTTGTATTTACTGTGAAGTTTAGTAGTGGCTTTTTGCTGAAACTTTCTTCAAACAGTAAAGTGTGGTAGTGGTGAAAGTATTTTATTGTGTAGTTTTTGTGGCACAGCTGCATTGCTATTATCAATAAAATTGTGTAATAGGTTGTGGGAAACTAGAAGTGAAAATGGCGTCGGGTAGTGTAGAAAGTAGTGTTGTGTTGAATGTGCAGATAGCATCTGAGACAGAATTGAAAAATTTGAAAGGAATTGGTCCAGTGAAAGCTCATAGATTGGTGTCTTTGAGAAATCAAAAAGGAAAATTGCTGTTGAGTGATTTGGAAGAAATTACTGGTATTGGTGTAGCAGAATGGCAGAAATGGGAAAAGAAGGGTAATGTGATTCTGGGTGTAATGGAAGAAAAAGATGAAGGTTCAAAAGTTGGAGATGAGAAAAAGGAAGAGAGTGTGAATTGGGAAGAAAAGTATAGAAAGTTGATGGAACGATTGAAGGTACAAAATGAAATGATAATAAATCTTCGAGATGAGGTTGAAGAAGCGGGAGAAAAGATGGAATTTTTATCAAGTGAATTGGAAATAAATGATGCTAAAGTGAAAAAGTTGGAAAATGAAAAGAGTGAATGGGAAAAAGAGAAATATGCTTTGGAAAATGAAAAGTATAGTTTGGAAAATGAGAAGTGTGATTTGAAAAATGAGAATGATATGTTGAAAGAAAGAAATGTGAAAATTCAGAGTGAGTTGGGAAAAACTAAACAAGTGTTAATGAAAAAAGAAATGGAAATGGAAGAAGAGTGTAGAGAGTATTCCACAAAAGAAATGATGTTACATACACAGGTTGAAACACAGAATGAATTGTTGAGAAAACGAGTAGAAAGTTTGCAGAAGTGTGAAATTGAAAAAATGGATTTGAAATTGCAATTGGATGAGATGACAGCCCGTCATGATCATTTGCAAATTCAGTATGAAAGAATGCATTTACAGCATGATTTAGAAAAAATCCCAAGACCAACTCCTAGAGATATTAAAAGTAGTAGACCCACACCTGCACCTAGAAGTAGTAAAAAGAAAAGTTTGGAAACCCCTGTGAAAAAACCAATACTGAAACTAGAAGAGAGTGAAAGTGAAAGTGAATCTGAATGTGAACAGAAAAGAGTTCCTTTAGTTGAAAGAGAAAAAGGACCTGTTCATAAAATGCCTAATTTTAGTGGGAATGGAAGAGAAAATTGGGAAGCTTTTGTATTTAAATTTGAAGGAATGGCAGAAAGATACGGATGGAATGATAAAAGAAAAACTAGCAGAATGATTGAATGTCTGGAAGACAGAGCTCTTGAGTATGCGATAGAGTTTGGAAACTGCAAATATAAACGTTTGAAAGAAGTGATGTCAAAACGTTTTAGTATGAAAGAGTCTGCTTCATCTGCACGTAGAGCACTTCAATCAATGAGACAGGGTGAAAGTGAATCTTTGCAAGATTTTTCTCATCGTGTGTTCATGGCATCTAGAGAGGGATATGCAGAAGGTGGTGAAGGAATAGCTGTGGATTCATTTTTGAGAGGGTGTCGTGACAAAGAATCTGCAAAGTTGGCTATGGATAAAGAGCCTAAAGATTTATTTGAAGCGTTAGAGTTTGTGAAAGTTGCAAACAATAACTTCAAAGCTGTGTATGGTACAGGTGGAAGAAATGTGCATATTAGACAAGTTGGAATGTCTGATCAGAGTGTGGAGAATGGAAGTAATAATCATTTACTTTACAACATGCAAAAAACCATGTCTGCAATGTGTGATCAGATGAAAAGAATGAATGACGCATGGGTGTCACCGTCGAATTCTCAGAGAAATTCTGGTAGAATGGTAAAGTCGCCCCAGAATGGAAATGTAAATCAAAGTAGAGGGGGTCCACCACAATGTTTTAAATGTGGAGAAAGAGGTCATGTTCAAAGGGATTGTAAAAATGAAATTGTAGAACATCCACCTAATCCCAATGTTAGTAAAAATGCCAGCCCAAGTTCTATTTTGATTTGTAATAAATGTGGACAGAGAGGTCACATTCAAACAAATTGCCCTCAAAATAGAGAATTGCCTAAGAATCCTCCTCCCGGTGCAAGAAATTCGGTAAACTAGAACGGGACGAATTGACCGACCGGATTTCGGATCCCTTACTTCATGTTGAAGGTCGGATTATGGATGGTGGAAATGTGAAAATGATGAATGTTGGAAAGTTAGTAGGAGAAAATTTTGTGATTCCTGTTAGTGTAGGTGGTGTGAAAACATTAGCAGTTGTGGATACAGCAGCTCAATTTACTATAGTAAATAAAAGATTTTATAGTAAATTGCAGGGTGTGCCTGAGTTTTGTAAGACTCTGAAATTAATGCTTGCTGGAAAAAATGCATTTATGATGGGTCATAGAGTAGAAAATTTGAGTATTGAGATAGATGGGATAGAATATAAGGAAAATGTGTATGTTGCAGATTTGCAAGAAGGAATTGATTTGTTGTTGGGATTGAAGTTTTTGAAGGAGAGAAATTGTGTGGTGAATTTAGTTGATCAAACTTTGATCATTGGAGAAAGATGTGTGAAGGGAAGCATAGAAGTTGAAGGTGACTCTGATTTGAGTAAAGTGAATGATGAGACAGAAGCTAAAAGTGAAGAGAAATGTGTTGATGAATTAGAGAAAGCAGTTGAAATTTGTGAAAATATGGTGAGAACGAAAAAGAGAATAGTAGTTCCTCCATTGACGGTGATGAGAATTTCTGTTTGTGCAGATTATGAGTTAGAGAAAAAGAAAGAGTACGTGATAGAACCTTGTGTTGATAGACAAGTGTTGGTATCTTGTGCATTAGTTAAAGGTGATGATGTTGTTCCTATAGAGATAGTGAATGATGGAGAAAGAAATGCTGTTTTGAAAGCAGGTAGTGTATTAGGTGTTATTAAGGAGGTTGAGACAGTTGATTCGGAAGTGAGATGTAAAGATGAAGAGGGGAAAGCTAGGGTGTCTGCTGTGAATAAAGTTGAAATGAAGTTGAAAATAGATGAAAATATGGATAAAGAAGTGATGAGAAGTTTGAAAAGAGATTTGCCTGAACATTTGCAAAATTTATTTGAAAGGTCAAGTGAGGAGCTTGATTCAAATGAAATGGTTGCATTGTGTGAAACTTTGAGAGATTATGAAGATGTATTTGCAAAGCATGATCTTGATTTAGGGTGCATGAAAGGTGTTAAGCATACTATTAACACTGGTAATGCAGCTCCTGTGAAACAGAAATTGCGTAGAACTCCATTGGGAATGGAGGGAGAGGAGAGAAAGATGCTTGAAAAGTTGTTAGCTTCTGATGTTATTCAGCCATCAAATTCTGAATGGGCATCCCCACCAGTTTTGATAAGAAAGAAAGATGGAAGTGTTAGATGGTGTGTGGATTATAGGGAATTAAATAAGAAAACTATCAAAGATTCTTATCCTATTCCAAACATTGGTGATTGTTTAGATTGTCTGGCTGGAAATCAATTTTTGAATTTGATTGATATGGCTGTGTTAGGAAAGAATTTTGAAGATCATCTTAAGAATTTGAAAGAAGTTTTGGAGAGATTGCGTTCTTACAACTTGAAGTTAAAGCCTAAGAAATGTTTTCTTTTCCAAACAAAGTGTGAATTCCTAGGAAAGTCTTTCAGTAGAGAAGGTGTTGGCTAGAAAATGAACCGAAAGAGTCAGAGGTGTATTTGTGTAATATGGCCGTGAAAGAATTGTGGAATGAAAAAAAAAATTGATTCTTTTGAATGATGTGCTATATTACAAATGGGAAAAGAGAGAAGATAGAAAATTGTTTAATTGTACCAGAAGATTTGGTCAATGAAGTTTTGTTTTTCTTTATTTGAATGAGCTTTGTTTAAGTAGATAATATGTGTACATAGTAAATGCGGCAATGCTGTAATACTATGTTAGTAATTAATGTAATATTATGTTCATGCTGTAATACTATGTTGTTAATGTAATACTATGCTATTAATGTAATATTACTTTAATATTCATTTGAAAGAAAAGCTCATTATCATGTATGTTCATTCAAGAAAATAAACCATTGTATAAGTTTATTTCAGATACGGATTTAGACATACTAGATGAAGCCTGTTTTGTTCCGGATTATGATGACACTGATCTGGTGGAAGATCCTACTGTCCTAATTGGTGAAGAGGGGGAGGAAGTTACCCACTCAAAGTGCAGAGGGGAGAAACGGAGGAGAGAAGTCCAGTGTGGTTTGTGTCTGGTGTCCAGTGCTGACCTAAGTAGACATCTTGGACGTCATGTGAAATCTGTTCATTTGCCATGGTATATGACTCCAGGATTGGTGTGCTGGTATTGCAGATCGATGGAGAAGGACAATTCGCTTTTACGTAAATGTCATGGTGATGTGCATTCATGTGGAACTGGTGAATTCGAGGAAAAACTGTGGATCCAATTGGTGAATGGATTTTTACATTTCCTCATCTTGACATTAAATATGAGAAATATATGGGAACTGATGGACTATGTGAAAAGTGAAGGACTAGTAATGTTGCCAGATAACTGTTCCAAGGAGGACATTGACTTTGTAAAAATATACATTTATGGAAATGGTATGGAGCCTAAGACTGAGATTCTGAATTATTTGTTGACTTTGTTTCACTGGAGAACTTTGTATCATCTGTTAAAAAAACTTTCATCAGAGGATCGTGAACTCGGTAGTCATTGGTATCGGCGGATGGAATTTACTTTGCTACATGGATGAAAAATGAACTATATAATGATTTGACATTTCACATTGACATTGTTATCATTAATAATGTTGTTTTGAGCAACTTTGAGTTAAAATCACTTTGTTTGCTTTTAAAGTTGATTTAAAGTGATAATGGATTTAAAACTTTGTTTTGCATTCCTAAGATTGAACATTTATGCTGAGAGATGGACTTGATTGACTTTGCTTGTGTTAAAGTTAAATGTTGAATCTTGGTATAACAAGAATGAACTTAATTGCATTATTTGCTTATTTTAAATGTAAAGTAAGATTTCAGTTGTTGAATTATAGTAATTGTTAATTTAACAATTTAAGGTAATGGTCTATATTGTAATAATAGGGGGGAGTTTTGTTCGTCAAAAGGGGGGAGAGTGTGACGATGTAGTGTGTTAGATGATATTATTTTATATTGCTACCGGTAGATGTCTCTGTAAGTAAAGTGTTGTCCGGTGTGCAAGTTTGAATCTCTCCCGTGATTGGTAACCTAAAGGTAAAACTGTTCATTGTATAGTTGGTTCTGATTGGTAAACGTGTACTATCTGAACTAGTATATAAGGGGTAACGTGAAATAAATCGGCCTCTTTGGCTTCTTTGCGGCTGACTTTGCAGCTCTCTTGGCTCTTTTGCTCTTCTCTTGAGGCTGATCTCTTTGGGCTATTTGGCTTTGTGCTTATACTCTGAGACACCAGTAAGTACATTGTTATTTGTACCTTCATAAGGCACTCGGCCGCGAAGGCGTAACAACATTTACTGATATTCTGAGTTAAAAGTCATTGAAACATTACCTGGTCCCATCTGATAGCGTTTCTCCTCCACCTCTTCCCCGGCATAGGCCAACATAAGGCGGATGGGCTGAGCTAGCTGGAGATACGAAAAAGATAAATAATCAATTTAGTAATTGATTGACTTATTATTTTAAATTTTAATTGATAAAAATCATTTTTAACAGACAAATAAAAATAAACGGATATATATATATATAACTGATAAATAAGACAATGAGCATGACTGTGCACAATTAGGAAGCGTGAATGAAAGATGGCAAAAATTACACTCTACGCGAAATAAGATGGGCCCTGATCTATATTTTAAATCAAATAGATATCAAATCAGTTTATGAATAAATAGATATACTGATATTATGAATCATTTTATATTTTATCTTAAAAAATAATCATGTCTCTCCGTCTGTTTGCATATATCACACTGTGTCTGGGTGTTTGAAGTAATTTCTGCAAGTCATGCTACTAGCACTACATGTACGACAATACCGGTCTGCCTATGCTTACATAATACGATGGCATTATTTTGCTAAGCAGTGAATGAAGGTGATCGAACCAAGCAGTTGTTCTTGGTCAAACTGACCTCGCAAACAATGCAATCGGCACGATCGCCGGTCGATGCACAAATAGACTGTAATTTCATCCTATCCATGCAGATTATTTATACTATCTCGCCGCGTACATTTCTCCAATGTATATGGTGAGACCCCGTAGACCCAGTTAGCGTGGTACAAGGTATATGTGTTCAATATACATACATGTTTATGTAGGTCTTGCATGTATATGTAGTGCTTTCTTCTAAAGAGTAAATGTAATTAGGTTAAATATACTCTTACAACCCACACGATGGTGCATGACTTCATTTGTCCACGCCCCGGGATCACTGTCTGCGGCAATAAATATATGATATCATAAGTATGCAACTGCAATGAGTGTCACATCATAAACATGTAGTGCACGCAAGCAGGGCTCAAGTAATTAATTTCCAGTCCTAGTTTTGCAGAATTCAGCTTTAAGAATGCTGGGTGGATGAACCCCCCCCCCCCCCCCACCCCCCATCTGTGCACCTTTGCCTTGTCCATGTTAAATCCCGAACCGACCACAAAATCACTACAAGTTTTCTACATGTACACAAACCAAGGACGGTCTATGAACAAACCTACCCCTCGTATGTTCCAATACCCGAGTACAGCTGGCATGGTGAAGAAAATCTGTCGGTAAACCGTCTCAGCGTGGCAGCTCGCTCCTTGTTGATCTATGCTGACTGTGCCAGAGGCCTGTAGAGCCGCATTTTGCAACCGACCGCATTTTGCAACCGGTTGCAAAATGCGTTCAGTTGCAAAA